ACCTAATTCGAATTAAGGCCGACCCAAATTATTTAGACCGGCTGATTTGATTCAGACGTCGATCTTATTTGCAGCTGAACTAAGTTCAAAAGGCCAAAAATGCTCATTTCGGTCAAAGTACTTGCAAAATACGTTATAATAATTTATGCATTAGGTTCGGTACATGAAAAGTTTGGCCTCTGAATCAAAGCCATTCCAAAGTAACTCCAAAGGCGAAATTCCTGGGCGGACTAGGCGAAAAGAGCGGCTGAGCCATTCCTAATTGATTCAGACGCCGAACTTTTTATGTACTTAATTCAATGTATTCGGCTCATGAAAAGTTCGGAGTACACCTAAACCAGGCCTTAGAGTCGTTTTGAAAAATGCTCAAGCATTTCTTTTAAAAAAACGTTTTAAATGAATTTTGGCAAAACCGTTTTATTGTGGCTCACGCAAAAAACTCCTGATCCTGTCAGATTGTATTTGGATTTACACAATACACTGCAGTCTCTGAAGTTGATTCGGCAATTGCGAGTGTGACGCTGATTGGTGGTGGATGCGCCGCAAATGCTGCCCTCACCCAGTGCCAGTCTTCACTGTTTACTGGTGCTGCTAGTGGACGAGCACGCCTATTGATTGTACTCATAGCGGGGAAGTCTTCTGACGATCCTGCAGGCGGGGGATCAGCTCTTAAGGGAGTCGGCGTTAAGACGATTGTTGTTGGAATAGGAAGTTCCGTTGATCAGGTGCAACTTTCATCTATGGCCTACTCGTCGTCTTACACTTTATCCTGTGCTTCGTTTAGTGCCTTAGCTGGTATGAGTGGACAGTTAACATCACTGATATCGCAAGGTACTTGACTGCATGAATATTTTCCTTTTTCATGATGAAGGCTTATAGCTGGTATCGATTTTTCATTGTCTTCTGTTTCTAAAATGAAATTATTGCGTTTTAGGCCGACAGGTTTCCGACGTGTCAAAATAGGTGGCCCATTTTGGGATAGGTCGCATATTCATAATAATAATAAGTAAGTTTAAGGATTCAATTCAATTCTGATTGGCTAAAAGCACACGCATTATTCACCATAACCAGTTACTGATGACCAAATTTGAAAAAAATTTGAGTTTAACGAGGAAATGACGTCAAAAATACAGCCTTCTACAGGTTAATGCACCGTTAACCGAGAAGTCCTGGGGACGAGGTTGAGTTGTTTTCGTTGTGAAAACTAAATTGGCGGACACTTCACTCGTTTCAAGAGTAAGAACTACAGCTGGAACTAGACGAAATAATGGCCAAAAACATAGCAAAAACAGCAAGAAGACAACTCGGAGGGCGACATCTGCTATTTGCCGAATATTTGCGGAGCTGGACAAACCCAAACATGCACTATCGAAGATAAACTTAACATTGATGCAGGTAAGCATGTTTTAGCTATGTTTTTTAACCTAGGAATTATTTTGAATGAATAATAAAGCGATTAATGAATTCGGCTTTCGTAGGGTATGAAGAATTAAGCACATCTCGGAGGGGACGGCCTTAATTCTTCACATCCTACTCAACCACATTCATTAATTGCTAAGTAACAACTGATTGCGCTATCAAACGAAAAATATTTACTTATTATCCACCTTTGAACAACTAGCTATGGCCAGTTTAAAATCAACATTCCCTCACGCCCACGCGTGTCTCAAAGAAATAGTATTTTTATACAATCTTCAGAGTTATTTCACTGCCTAGGACACTAGGAGGTAATAAATGCGATGTTAGCAGTTATTTGTGAGCTACAATCGTGACGTAGTATTTTGATCATCTCATTAGTCATTTTTCTTCCCAACAAAAAGAGGCTACCTCAAAAGTCCAATTTTGAATACAAAATTTTGGTGCAACAGTGTTGAGCATAGCGATTTTTTATTAGAGAATACCGTAGAGTTCTGTCTCACAAAGGTGTGGATTTGTACTAATGTATTTGAATTTCTCTTGATGTCCAATCCGTAAGTTATTTATTCTTGTTTTAGCTGGTGGAGTTAGTGTCAGCGGCAGTGGTGGAGCAGCGGGGGCAGCAGGCGGAACAGCAGGAGGAGCAGGAGGAGGTTTGCTAATTATGGCGCTTCCTATTTCTGTATTAAGTTTAAGATATTGATATAACGTTTCAAGCATTTTTTTTTTTGCAAAGCGTTGTGACAATGGTCATGTTTAATACATTACATTAGAAAAGGCGGGTTTATAACCTTTGCCTTGTAAATTGGAAAAATCACAGTAGAACGGGCAATATTTACTACCATAAAGGTTCTAAAATTACTTGATACTTCTAATAATAGCCCACAGTTCTCCTTGTTATATTTTAGGTTCATGTGATCTGGCCTTCATGCTTGACGCGTCAGGTAGTATCCAAGGCGAAGCAAACTTCAAATTGTGTATCGATTTTATCAAGGTTGTATTTCATGCGTTTGGTATGGGTGGTGGAATTCGCTTTGCTCTGGTTATATTTGGAAGTTCAGCTCAAGTCGTTTTTGACTTTAGCAAATATTCCTCAATCTCGGACGTTGATGCTGCTTTGGGTCAGGTTAGTAATTTTACTGCGTATATATTCTTTAGCGTAATTAAACATTCATTTTATTTTTTTTTTTCTGACTGGAGGTGACGTTGGGAGGGGCAAATCTTCCTTCGATTATCAAAATCTTAAATAAACATAAAAAAAGTGCCTTGTCTATTGATTATTCTTTTAATCAGGTGAAACTCGTTGGTGGTTCCTGCGCGGCCGGTGCGGCTCTATCCTCTTGTCAATCATCACTTTTTGCCGGCGCTGGAGGTGGTGGAGCCAGTGCCAGTTCTTCGAGTGCAGGGGCAAGTGTAAGTGCGCGCCTTCTTGTGGTAATGATGGCCGGGAAGTCAACGGACTCTATTACGAGTTCCGCCTCTGCAATCAAAGAAAGTGGTGTTAAAATACTATGCCTTGGGTTGGGAGGGAGCTATGATAAGGAGCAGATGACCACCATGGCTTCTTCAGCTGAATACTTCCTTTCTGTTTCTACGTTCTCGGCGTTGTCTGGCATTTCTCAGCAGTTTATCGGCCTCATAAGTCAAGGTAAACCTGTTATGTTTTCAATGTGGTCTTATTATGGGCTGTCACTTGTACGCTATGATAAAACCTTCTTTGAACTACACACCATGTTAACAAATTTAGGAAGAACACCGAAAGGGACAGTTCTTGAGGGAAGTTAAACTGGTTACATGGATCTAGTAACTAACTTTCTAAAATCATGAAATCATTGAATGACACGTGAGAGAATTAAGTTGTGTTAATTGACCTCCGAAAACTGAACAAGACATAAAAATATTCTTTTTGTTAGCTGGAGGAATATCAGCCACCGGAGGTAGCAGCGGAGCCGCTGGAGGAGCGGGAGCAACTGGGGCTGCTGGAGGAGCCGCAGGTACTTTATTTTGCATACTGTCTAATGTTGAAAATCACTTTTGTCTAGGGGCTGTCTCGCAAGAGTCTTGACAACTTTTATTACCAGCCGATTATATGCGATGAGGAGTTTATTTTATGAAGAAAAGTATTATTCGTACATCCAAAATTTAAGAATATGGCGATGAGGATGAGGATAGAAAGACACTTCTAGATCCTCAGTGCCCGTATGCTTTTATATCTTTGAAATGCTTGATGCATCTCTATATTTTGTCTCTCACCAAAGGTTACATAGATTGCAGTGTCCATTGCACTCCTAACTTTAACATGCAATAAAATTCCCGCCCATTTATTTATAATTTCGAGATGAACGTGATTTTTTGTTGTTGTTGTTAAAAAACAAAGTCATCGCAGTTTTATAACATATGGATATACACTTTAGTTTAAAATCGCTATACGGTGTCGTCCACCTCAAACTGATGATTTTAGCAACAAGCCAGTGACGCACGATTCACATTTTTTTAAAATGTTGCCGCTGTTGAGTTCCACAGCTTTCAACGTACAGTGGAATTCCGCTGTACGGACACCCCCCTAATTCCGACACCCCAGTAAAACGGACAGTTTTCTTTGTTCTAACGGAATCCCACATATTTTCTCTAAAATTAACTGCTCATACAGACACCCGTATTTAAGGACATCACAGAAACTTTTCTGTGTCTCGAGTGATAATTGTAAACATTTTCCCTGTTCACCCTTTTTACCGGTGCAGTCTTTGTTGTCCTTGGTCCTGTCCGTCTTCTCCTTTCTCTGCTTTGGTCTATATATCAATAAAACATGTGTCTCTGACGTTGTTTCCGAGACCCCGCTTAGTACGGGCATCAGGATGATACGGACAACGCGGCATGTCTCATTGCTGTTTGTTTCAAGCGGGTTTTGCCTTACCATGTAATAGAGATTCTAATCTCTTCCAACCCAGCCTTCAAAATAATTACAGAATGTTGAGTCAGCTTATCTCAACCTCCAACAAAGCATGATACTCTTGTTTTTCAAACAAGAATTGCAGCATCAATTTTATTGACAAAAATGCGTTGAACCGTGCGTTACTGGGTTGAGGGAATACTTCAGCTTCTAGAAACGTGGGTTGTCAGAAATTTTCATCGATCCATGTTTAACGGTATACTTATCCCCTTAACTAAATGCAATAGTTACAGCAGCTTTCATTTCATGGAGAAAAAACAGATAAATAAATAGCTGTATTTTTTAGTATTCGCCACATTATCACGCCACAATGACAGCAAGTTCCCGCAAATTAGTGCTGTTTCCACAATCGCACTCGTCAGTCAAACATTTTGGTAAAAATTGTTTGCCACCTTCACGCCTCATCTCTTCCCGCTGAATCAGTTCTTAATTTGAATATTTATCAAACAATAGCTGTATAACTTGCGCTCACTTTCCGAAAAATAAGTCTCTCCATGCGCATCTACGTCTTTTGGCTTGAATAGTACTAGCAAGCATGCATTTCTAATCATTTAGGTACCGTAATCTTTTCCAATCATTATTCATAGGCCGGAGATGACAGAGATTAGCTAGGTCCGCCAGCGTCTAGGAGAGTCAGTAATAATTAGCCTGATTCCCTGAACAAGAGAAATATGTAGTACATATTGCAGGTACAATATACAGGTAAAGAGGTTGAGGTGTTGCGATAATCCTAGGAGGTGTACGCACAGTGGCAAAACTGTACAATTTTAACCAATTTGGTAAATTTAATACGATCTGAATAAACTATTGTAGACGGTATTGTGTGGCGGGTACACATATTCTTTTATTATAAGAATACAATGCATGCACGTGATGTGGTATACATCCGTTAAAAAAAAAAAAATTAAAATTAAGTTTGATTGTGAATCCATCGCTTGTGTTTGTTAATAGAACCAATTCAATTTCTGTAATTGAACAATGTGAAAACTTGAACGACCTGTTCTTTGTTGAAAGTGAGACGATAACATGAAATGAACCAGACGCTTTTACTGTCGTTATTTTTGTTGTTGCTGTTGTTGTACTGTAAGTTCTATGGATCGTGCAGGAAGAAAGGAATTGCTATTATAGTATTCAACATGCCTGCTCGTAGTGACCAACGGGTTCATAACACATCATGAGGAATTTGATGCATGCAGGGTATGAGAGATTGGATAGAATCACCAAAGCATAGTAATAAGAATGTAAAAGAAAGTGAAACTGTTTCGCGCTTTTTCAAAGGTGCTGTTGATCTGGCTTTCATGCTCGATGCTTCCAGCAGTATAGGTGGGGAAGCCAATTTCAAGCTATGCCTCCAGTTTATTAAATCAGTTTATTCCAGCTGCACTATCTCACCAACGGCGTACCGAATAGGCCTGGTACTATTTGGTGCTTCAGCATCCGTGTCGTTTGACTTCAGCAAGTACAGCTCAGCGAGTGAAATTGATTCCGCCATTACAAGTTTGACATTGATGGGAGGAGCATGCGTAGCAGGACAAGGCCTACGCACTTGCCAGTCACAGATTTTTGCCCAATCACGCCAAGAAGCGTCCAAAATTCTTTTGGTGTTGATGGCTGGGAAATCAACAGACGACGTATCGAACGTAGCTGGGTCATTAAAATCGTCTGGAGTCAAGATATTCTGTCTTGGAATGGGAAGTGCCTTTGACAGGACCCAACTTTTAGCAATGGCTTCATCTGAATCTTATATCCAGATACAAGCTGACTATAACCAGCTCACATCGTTGTCGAGCGTGTTTTTATCACTTTTTGGCCAGGTTTCTAGTGGTAAGTAAATTATTTAAGGGCAATAAGCAACACTGATTTAAGCACAAGATAGTCAACTTCTTTCAATCTCAGATGAGCGGTATAAAAGTGATACTAATGGAAGGGTTGATGGTGACTAAAATACCTCAATGTTAGGCATATTAAAAAGATGAGTTGGTAGTCCAGGGTGTGAAAGGTAAACAAGGCTGCGGAGCCATTCAGCTGTCATATTGTAAACAGTAAATTATTTACTGCCTAGTTTATGTATCGTCATGGTTTCAACCTCGCTTTACTTAACTCTTTAACCAGTGAACTTGGGTAAGGCAGGATGTAGCACAAAGCGTGATATTAGCAAATCAGAGCATTGAATGAATTGAAGCATTAATTTTAAAGCAGAGAACAAAAGATATCAAAACCCTTAAGGATTTTTATACATCTGTAAGAAGACAACTAACACCAAAACTTCGAGATTAAATCAACACCGACATCATTCCCATGTACAGTAACTCACTGCCGACAAAACTGATCCACCTTAACTTCAACAGCATCACTTTTGGTGTGCAGTACCTGGACATATATATCCTATATAACGAATTAAAATTGCGTCTGAGACGAGAAAAAAACTACTGACTTTGTTTCGTCTTGATATGTCCTACGCTAAGCTTCTTCGCCCACCCTGGGTTTGCTGGTTACAAGGTATTCTTTCCTATTGTGTTTAGCGTTTATCCTTGGACCCAAAGATAGGTCATGTGGCCGAACACTATAGTAGAATACGCTCTAATCGAGCTAAACCGTAACGTCTCTAGTGAAAAAATATCGTTCATTAACAAAGAATACAACATTGAAGAAGGGTTTATAGCAATGAAAAAAGAAATGAAACTATTGTTCTAATTAGAAGCCTTTGTATCTGCGTGTTTTTTTTTTCAAATAAAAATGGAATTCAAACTTTTGCTTATCAACGGCGATGATGCTGTCGATCGGCGAAAGCTTGGATTCCATTTTTTTTTTAACAAAACAGCAGTTTATGGCTTCATTAAAACAACATTTTCATTCCAATCATGCTGCTGAAGGACAACATGAACAGGTTGTTAAAGGAAATAAGCCACACAGATCTTAAGGAAGAATCCTTCCTATCTGATCTCGATAGCATATGGAAATCACGCCTAAAAAAATTCAAGTATAGAACAGACTTCAAATTAGTCCAGGATCGGCGTAACCGTCATTTAGTTTACCATACTGGAGAGCTCTGTATGTAATATAACGAAATGCACTTCGAAAGAGCAGTATTTGAAATTAATAAATACCTGCTAGGATCTTCCCGAAAAAATATGACGTATTAAGCCAATACAGAACCTTTCCCTTGGAGAGTATAATATGAATTAATTTTAGGTGTGAGTTTACCTTCCATCACGTCTTCATCATCTCACCCACGCTGCAAAAATCAACACTTTGGCCAGACCAAGAAAAAACAGGACCACTCAGTGCTGTAGTTCACGTCACAAGCTTGAGGCAAGAGCTTCATCAGCTGGAATCGTTTGTCATCTTATTACTCTCACTTCATTCACGAATGGGTGCAAATCATTGTCACCGCCAAAAATTGGTTGCATCTTTACAGGCAAAAGAAAACTGTCTTCCGTTGGTAAGAATACACCTGAACAAGTAAAAGCTACAAATTTAAACACCATCGGTCCATTTACAATTTGTCATTGCAGTCAAGTCCATAACTCCGAAAGAGGAGACCACAATTTTAGAATTCATGGGATTATTTCATTCTTCTTCGCACTGGACCTACAGTTTATCGACCAGAATGGCCTACATCCGCGTGTTCGGGTGGGGCCAGTCGCCGGAAGCTCTTAGAGTAATAGTTTCCGATTAAATAGTGGAATACCTGGGTAATCATTTGGAACAGGGAACAATAGGAAATTATAACGAGTATCCTCATCCGGTTAATTAGGTGTCTATGCCGGGGGCTAGGCAATTTGCAGTCTGTTTGAGTCTTTAACGGCTGGATCAGAAAGCACCGGTAGTCCACCTGCAGGATCTGCATCCACGTCCTCGGTTAAGTGCAGCTGGAGGCACTTTGAGTGGCCGTTTGGGTAAGTCTTCAACAGGTGGGATTCCTGTTCCATCAGATTGAACAAGAAACCCTACCAATTCAAACTTGTGAAAGAGTTGCAACTGGTAGTTTAAGTGGGGTAAGAAGCACTGGCTTTCCATTATGATTATCTCCATCCGCTTCGTCAGGTGGTGCTGTCGGAGTTTATTCGAGTGGAATCATCGACAGGTGTAAATTGTCTACCTAATCAGGTAGAGTAGGGAACACTGGAAATCAATCAGGAGGTTCCACGTCTGGTTCTTTAGATGCTGCTTCTTAAGACCCTGCAACTGACAGTTTGGATGAACCTTCAAAAGCAGAAGCAGGAAACACTATCACTCCATCTAGAGGTTCCACACCCTCTTTATCAGTTGGTGCTTGCGGAGGCCCCGTAAATGGCAAATTGCGTTGGTCGTTGAGTGGCGTATTAGGAAGCATTGAAATTTCATCAGGAGAACCTCGTTTGATCGGCTTTTGTGATGTTGTTGCAAGAGTCTCTTCATTAGATGGGTCAGGAGGCATAACGTCAACAGTTTCAGAAGAATCATCTTGAGGAACAACTTCCGATGATGTCGCTGGATATTTTACAGGAGGGATTTTAGGATAACCGATATGAGTAGAGAGTGTAAGTGGATAAGGTGGGAGTGCCAGAAAAAAGGAGGATTCATGAGTGGTGGTTTAGGTAGATAAATCTTCAACAGGACGTATTTCAAGTAATTCAACATGAATCGTTCGTTCACCGGTTAGTAAAGTGCGGGTACTGAGAACGCATTTGCCTGTTTCGTTCACCAAGGAATGAATTTCATGGCATATCACACACTTCTTGGGATAAGTAAACAGAGAAGCCACAGAGACTAAGTAGCAGTTTGTGTTGACCATTTCTTGTGCTTAGAGCAATTACGCGAGTCAGAAGAAAATTAAGATTAAATTGAGTAGTCACGGATTTTTTAATGTGCTCCCCAAAACTGTATCTGCTTTAAGTGGGATGAACGATATGTATATTGTTGAAAGTATTTACTTCATCACACGCTCATGCCCATGCTTGCAGCACAAGACCTTTTATGCAAGAGGTGAAATTAACCTAAAGGAAAGATGCTCTGATTACCACCAACTCATTTACAATTTTATCACCAACTCCATCCAATCCATATCCCTTCGTTCAAAGAACATTTAGGAATGAAATTAATCGAACACGATAAAAGGAACTGTGCCTCTTTTAACATTTTAAGGAGTGTGACATATTTTCGTGCATTCGTACAGGATCAGTGAACGGATCTGCAGGTGGAGCTGCTGGAGCCTCCACTAGTGGTGTTGCAGGAGGATCTTCGACAGGACAAATATCTGGATCATCGGGTTCTGCAGGAAGCACAGCAGGGGGTGGTGCGTCTGCTGGTACAGGTGGGGCGGTTGGAGGGTCTACAGGTGGTGGTGGCGCGTCAGGTGAAACAGGAGGAGTAAGTGGCTCAACAGGTGGCGTTACTGGGTCATCAGGAGGAACAGGTAGTACAGCAGGCTCTATGGGTAGCTCTACTAGTGGGGGCACTGGAGGCTCATCAGGATCTACTGCTGGCGGAGGGAATTCGGGAGGTAGTGGTGTGTCTGGGGGTACAGGTGGGACGGTTGGTGGGTCAACGGGGGCTGGTGGATCGTCAGTTGAAACAGGAGGTATAAGTGGCTCAACAGGTGGTGTAAGTGAGTCATCGGAGGGGAGTAGTGGTATTTCAGGTGGCACAGGTAGTACAACAGGCTCTGTGGGTGGCCCTGGTGGGGCTATTGGGGGTTCTTCAGGATCTACTACTGGCGGAGGGAATTTGGGAGGCGGAGCGGGGGCTACGGGCATAAGCGGTATTGGAGGATCAAATCAAGGAGGAGCGGCTAGTGGGGGCACTGTAGGTTCATCAGGATCTACTACTGGCGGAGGGAATTTGGGAGGCGGAGGGGGAGCTACGGGAATAGGCGGTATTGAAGGAACAAATCAAGGGGGAGCATCGATTGGGGGCACTGTAGGTGAGTTTACCTTGAGTGGAAACAGAGAAAAAGAGATGATTATCTTCACTTGAATGGTAGTAGATATACAATGGATACATAATGAAATTCCTCTGTGTGTCTTGATGATGTATTGGGTCGTGCGTGTTTTAATGATGTATGGATACTAGAAAGAAAATAGCATATCAGTAAAGTCAAATAAAATGCTCACAGAAAGAGCAGATGTGGTCTACAATGCCTTCCTATAAATGTGAATGAACTTTTTCGTCTGCGTCGGGAAAGCTTAGAAATGAAAGGAAATTTTTAGAGGCCGTGCGTAGACCATTGCTCTGTCACTTAACTCTTGATTGAATTTGCAGATAAAAATCCAAATTTGCAAATTCTAAAATAAATGAAGAGTTTTCTTCTTGATCCATGGAATTCCCTGTTATCCTAAGGATTCATTATGTTGCCCAGGATTTCTGAGATTCATTTCGCTTTGAATATTTTAATAGATTCTGGTTCAACACAAAAGCTGTTTCATAGTATAGATCAATGTTCGATTAATATGAGTAAAGGAAGGCAGTGGTGTTTACACTCTTACCTCAGTTTTAAAATCCCTGAGTATTAATAACTAAGGGCCGAGCAGACACACGCTCAAATGTGTTCAAGTTGAGTGAAAAAAAACGTAATTTTCTTTTGAAAGATAAAACATAAATAGTCAACGAGTCTAGAGGATAACCAGGGCGTTAGAAAAGTAAGAGAGATAAAAACTATGGAGTCAGGTAGGTGTGTACTACGGATTATTTCTTTATTGGCCGCAGCAATTGCAATTATTTCATTGATAAAAATAATACCCTTCCAAACTCTTGTCATTGCCGGGTTTTATGTGATGTATTCCATCAAGTACAGGACGTTTCCTACCCGCATTGTTAACGGGTGGATTCAGGGTCCCTGAACGATTCCCACTTCCGCTGATTGCGTGACCTTTTCCCCTACATGTTTGAGATAGCCAGCCGGTTAACCTCCCGCTTGTTGTCGTTTTGGCCTAGTCTATATTTTAGCAAAGATGCATGAGCTCCATGTTATTTCTGATTAATTCCAATATTTTGCAGGAGGAACCGGAGGCATCGGAGGAGGCGGCAGCTCTGGGGGAGCAGGAGGCATTGGAGGAGCTACTGGCGTCGGTGGAATTGGTGGCACTGGGGGAGCTGGTGGTATCGCGGGAACTGGGGCCATCGGAGGAGCGGGCGGAATTGGAGGATCCGGGAGCATCGGAGGAACTGGGGGAACTGGAGGAACTGGCAGCATCGGAGGAGCTACTGGCATCGGAGGAACAGGTGGCATTGGAGGAGCCGGCGGCATCGGAGGCGTTGGCAGCATCGGAGGTGCCAGTGGAAGTGGTGGAATAGGAGGAGGCCTGGCAGGTGGAAATGGTGCCAATGGTGCAGTTGGGGTTGGTGGGTCCACTGGAGGAACAGGAGGTCAGCTGCTTTATTCCAAAATTTTAGCAATTACGACATTTTGTAACGTAATATTCAAACAGGAAAAAAGAAAACCAAAACTTGCTTTTAATCCAGCGGGGGGAATAGGCGAACGAATATTTATTTGTTGGTTATCTCTAACCGTATTGCTAAAATGGCATAAATACAGTCTTCAAGACCGGGCCGGTCTAAAAGATGGTAAGATCATGTGGGCTTTGATTAAGACATTGTCTCAGTTCCGTGATTACGTCATGTTACAGTGAAGTTGTCCTTTTGGTGTTACATTCGAGACCCTTTCTTGCTTTTTTTTAGGAGATTTGAAATAACCCCAGCTGCTTAGTTCTGAAGAAGCAGCATTTGCTAGTGCAAAGGCCGGGGAAATTATATAATCCTATAGACATTTTTCTAAAAAGAAAATAAATATAATGAAATAAAAGCACAGACGATAAAAGTAAATGATTAATTCTTTAACTTGCTGTTGCAATGTTCTTTCCAACTGGTTGAGGCTTATAAAGCTAACAAACACGAACAAAGTGGAAGACGAGTTAGTTCCCATCGTGACACTCGTTCTCCTTTATAAAATGTGTTTCAATTTTTGTTATCATCGCATTTTCCATGTATTATACTTTTGAGAGATTTCTGTAAACCACTTTTGCATAAGGCTAAGAGGCAAAATCTAACAAAAGTCAGTTTTTTTAGATATGTAAGACATGAAATATGTTATATAACATCTATTCACAAATAAAGTAGGGTATCATTTTTTCAATGCGAATGTTACAATTCAATTTTAACTCGCAGGAGTAACTGGACTGGGTCTGGAATGCACGATAAGGCCTCTGCACTTACCACATTTATGTTTATGCCAGCCGTCAGCTTCTAGTTGCAGAGTACAAAACGTTGGTCAAGGTAACTGCCGCATCCTTCATAAACAATTATTACTGACCCTGAAACAATAGACCAACATATACATACTCGTACTAGGACAAGCGACGGCTGACATTTGCAATTATCGATATTATCCACATGGGATCCGCTTTTTTTTTTAAATGTCGACGTAGTCACTGAGTGTTTAAATTCAGATTTTTTTTTTCTGGTGCATAAAACTAAACGACGAAGAACAATTGAATTTAGGGCCCAAATCAGCTACGTGGAAACTTTGTTTTTAGTAAATATATTGTTTCCGGACTCGAAGGCCTGGAAAACAATGATGAAAGGCAAATGAGTCAAGGATTATATTGTCAAATCATGTACAAAATATGACTTATACTCTACGCATATGCATTCCTTAATGATACGCGAACTGGGAATACGCAGATGTTGAGAAAATGCACGCCAGTAAAAATATAATAGGGTATGTAGTATGGTTATAAAACATTTCATGTAAACTATATAATATAAACCGAAATTTTTCTAATACACAGAGATTTTAGTGATTAAAGTAGTTAGCATGAAGGTCCCTACGATGACGGGAAATGCATGGAAGTGACATTTATGAGGACCCATTCATGGGGCCTAAAAGCAAAAACTCTCTCTAGATGAGGCGCCTACCACAGGAAAGGGAGTTTTTCTGAGATCTCCACCTGACAGAAGGCAGATGAAGGACATCGCAGAGTTGAACACGCATGTGGGTGTACATTCTCCTGATCCTCCACCAATTCACACATCAGTGACAATCCCTGTCCTAGTCCTGTCACCTGGACTGCCAACTTCTTCTCCATCTACTTAAGCTGTTGTAGTTCCAAGCCACCCCTTTTGAAGACGCCAGGGAATGTTATTTTCAATCCCTGCTTAGGATAGGGTTGTAGATGAAGTTCACCATACAAATGGCAATGATGGTCCCTTTTGGTTGCCGTCCAGAAAATATCATCCAATTCAGTATGCTTCCAGGCCAACACACAAAGAAGGCACATATGCATCAAGAAATGCCATTTGGGAATATGATTGGGATCATCTGAAACTTCTATGGCTTGTAATAATAAATTGCTAAGGTATAATTCAAATAAGAGCGGAATTCGGTACAAACTCTTGGTGAGTTGCATGCGCGTGAGCATGGAACTAATCGGAAGGATCCAAAAAAACGGTTGCAAAATACCCAAAGTAACGCTCACATGAAGTATGACAGCATTATGGCCAGACGCCACTTAACAAAATGACGATTTAATGATTAACTTCACCTAACGGTGACGGCCGTTGACAAGAAAACAATTAAAACTCCTCTACATGTCATTGTCTGTTCTACGTGAGATAGTAAAACGCTTTGGAATAATATATTAAACTGTATCTAATTTACACGACGACGTTTCGATTGAAACGCTTCAATTTTCAAGCTTCAGTCTCCATTTTCACTTGCTCGTGAAAGTAATTTCAGCGTGAGATGAAAGCTATCGTAAACACTTATTGTGGCCAGGCATAATCTGTTTTATTAATTCTTAAACGCTTCATAGAAAAAAATCTAAATCTAATTTTTCTTTGTGTGATGATTAAAGGATTCAGATCCTTTTAAACAATAACAAAAACGTTTTGTTTGTAAAGATTGTTCGTTGACATAATTTAGTATGCTGAATCGCCATAACACCGCATGCAGTAGAGAGCCTAGTAATCTTGTCTAATATAAAACGGCACATTTAAAGGGCCATTATTTAAAGCAAGAACACTCTCCTTAAGATATTGATGATGAAATAAATGTAGTAGCTTATTCATACCAGCGTTCCTTCGTTACTATGATTTTGGAGCATCCCGGGTTTAAGAAATCTGCCTTTTGACGCCTTTTCACTGAAATGACTGCAAATTTAGGCTGGTTTTCAAAAAATCGGCTACATATAAATTCGAAATATTGTATCAGCATCCCAGGAAACGTCTCGAACATAAACAACACGTTCTAAATCAGTCCCAAAATCAAAATCCTGTTAGAAAACCAGAATTGTGTGGATATTTATGACGAGTATACCCTTCTTTGTTCTAAGGTTATTTTCCTTTCTTTTTTTCTTATCAGGAACTGCCGGAGGCAGTATGGTCGGAGTTGGAGGAATTGTCGGAGGAGGTGGAACTTCCGGAATAGGGGGTAGCATGGGAGGAGCGGGTGGTGGCATGGTAGGAGGAGGGAGCATAGGCGGTGGTGGAGGCATGACTGGGGGAGGTGGAAGTATGATAGGGGGTGGAGGAAATGTAGGAGGTGTTGGGGGCATGACAGGAGGCGGCGGTAATGTAGGAGGGGGTGGAGGTATGATAGGGGTTGGAGGAAATGCAGGGGGTGGCGGAGGTATGATAGGAGGTGGAGGAAATGTAGGTGGTGGCGGAGGTATGGTAGGAAAAGGTGGTAATGTAGGAGGTGGTGGAGGTATGATTGGGGTCGGAGGAAATGTTGGTGGGGGTGGGGGTATGATAGGGGTTGGGGGAAATGCAGGGGGAGGTGGGGGTATGATAGGAGTTGGCGGAAATGCGGGAGGAGGCGGGGGTATGATAGGAGTTGGCGGAAATGCAGAAGGTGGTGGGGGTATGATAGGAGGCGGCGGTAATACAGGTGGTGGCGGAAGTATGGCGGGCGGTGGTGGAAATGTAGTGGGTGGAGGTGGTGCAGGCATGATAGGTGGTGGTGGTGGTGGTGGAATGGTTGGGGGTGGCGGAAGCATGGGTGGAGGTATAGGGATTGGCATGGGTGGCGTTGGAGTAGGCGGGGGATTTGGTGGTGCAGGAATGTTGGGAGGAGCTAGAGGAATGGAAGGTAATTTTACCAATATGAATTAACTACGTTTGCTTATGAGCTTATTACTTACTTATTATTCTCCTTTTTTTTTCTAGTAATTTTGGACTTGGGATTTATGATCGATGGATCCTCCGCCGTTCTCAATGAACAGAACTTTCGGCAAATTCTCAATTTTGTTAGCGCCGTGTCTCATTCTTTCTCCATCGGTCATCATATGACACGAGTGGGAGTTGTTGTGTTTTCTCTAGAAGCTTTTGTGATTTTCAACTTCCACACTTACTTCGATATACAAAACATAGATCAAGCGTTGAACTCTGTGCAGTACCCAGGAACAGACGGCCCAGGCACGTACATCGGACGGGGTTTACACGTGGCACATCATTATCTTTTCAGTAGCTCAGGGAGGGCTCATGTTCCGAGAGCGTTAGTGGTGGTTGCAGCGGGAAGGTCTATCGATGACGTCATCACGCCCTCAATGGACATTAGGTCGCATAGTGTAGAAATGTTCTGTGTTGGTGTTGGGAACCTTTACAGTAAGCTGCAGCTCCATGCTATGGCAAGTTTTCCACACAGTGAACATATTTTTAGAGGAGACTACGCGCTGATAGGCAATACCGCTCAACAAGTTGTGACCAAGATTTTAAAAGGTAAGCCCGTAAATCTACTATGGTAATCTCGAAGATGGTAGACATACTGATATTCCTAATCAGCCAATTAAGATATTAATTAAGAAATAAAAATTAAAATGCTGCGATTTGAAGAGGGATAATGATGAACGAATGGGAACCACATTACTTGAAGGGAACCTCTTGGAGCAATAGCGAACAAACAACAAGCGTAACCGACATATGGCGTCGTCCTTGGGAAAACTCTTGGTTTGAGTTGCGTAGCACTACCAATTCATCTCCCTTAAACACCTCCCTACCCCTCTTCATTGGATTGTTTGCTTTTGTGGAAGACCGTTAAAAAATCATACACATATAGTATTATAAAGATCTAGCTTTTTGTTCTTGATTTGATCGCAGGTATATCCGTTCATTTTTGTCGTCCTTGCTATGACAGTAAGTTAAGCTTTGTGTTTTAAATATTTTAGACATATATCAGTTCATTATTGGCCATTGAAGTGAAACAGTAGGTTATCATTCGCAATAATGACCTACTTCTCTGTTGATTGAAAATAATAACCTGTTCAAAACAATGCAATGGTGCGTTAAATTCAAATAAAACACAAAATGATCCTCACTTACTTGATTCATTGAGTATTCAATATAGAACTCTTGTGGAAAGTGAGCGCGTACGGTATTTACGCACGTTGTTGACGTATCAGAAATCGAACAAGTGAGCGCAGGGAACGAGTAAAATTTCTGATTCAAGAACAACGAAGGCACACCTGTTACGAGGGATGAGCTCATGAGCTCAGCCGTAACAGGTGGTAAGGGTTATGGCCTCTAATGGCAGTCCGGAAAAGTGCGTAAATACCGTACAAGACACTTTTGTGACTCCAATCAATGAACGCAGGCTCCGATCAACGAATGTTCTCGCTTAATGACTTCGAACAACTAGCGAGACAACTCGCTCCAGGCAACCAGAAAAAAACGGCAAATTGGGCGCGAAACTCGCGCAGCCACTGTGGCTTTTGACTGGACTTATCATTTTTCTCACATATGAAAAAAAAAAGAAAAACGTTCTGATTGGACCATCTTTTTACACGTGTGAAGAAAACCGTTCACTCCTAACTGGTAGAGCTCATTTGCATAAGGAAATGTTTAGTTAAGGCAAAGCTTTTCAGCTTTGCCTGATTTATTAGCCGAAAAAAGTAAATTTCTATGCTTATATCCAAAATAACGATAATTGATTAAACAAGCCTTGTTTGTCATTTTTCAAAGGTCATCATGAATTATGCGATTACTGCCCCAGTGAATTTCGAAATGAGGAGGAGGGAGACGCTGATGACGTCGATGACGGTTTTAAACGCCATCACCGCCATCATCAAGATCACCAGCTTTCCCATATAAAACAGTCCACCGGTGATAGTCCACCCGACTCGAAAAAAATAACAAAAACCAGTGGGGAATACGACTTCGAACAATCAAAATCTCTTAAGATGGCAAACAGCCACCATTCTCATCATACACATAATAATAAATACAAGGAGACAGAAGACGCTTATGAACCCATCCAATCTACGTCAAACCTTTTAACTGGGGATTTGGACATAGACAGTGACCCAGCAAATTATGGAGAATATAAATATGACAAGATGACTGTCGAAGAAAATGGTTAGTGCAGTACTAAGCTCTTAATCCTTCACCTGTGCTGGGTGACCAGTGTCTAATGTCTCCAAATCCTGTAACTTCTCTTTAACGCTTTTTCGTTCCCCTGAATGAAGATTAAAGCCTGGTCCGGTTGCTGAGGCCGATCAGCGCTAATCCAGGTTTAAAATTTTGTTCCACGTTTTGTATTTACCTTCCTATGCATTGCTTAGAGTAACATTTTGTGTTATCATTTCTTTTCTCTTTTTTTTTTCAAAGTATCAAAACAAGAAAACCTTGTTTAAAATTTGGCTTAATTGTGGATAAAACTAATAACCATCTTCTGAGGAACCAGACCCAGAGTTTTTTGGACCACGAAAACATGTCCCTTACTAGAGGTTTCCTTTCAAAAGAGGGAAAAGATACAAAAATTGTATAATTTTTTTCTTCGGGACCAAATTTTGCGAAGACTTGCTCTTGGCCTTATGGTGCGTGGGAGAATTTAACTGTTTGGAGACTGCCGAGTCAGCAGCGAAAAAAACCTATGCCCCCTTTAGACCGGTGATCTGTTAAGTAGCATGATTAATTACTAGAGAGGGGATTTGAAACACTTAAGGGAATTATGACTTGACATTTTGGATTTTTCGTTTTCTTTTCTTGTATTTTTTTTCAATCATTTCGATCTTTCTTTCCCATTAGCTTATGAAAATAACTTATTGATAATATCTGCATTATTACTAATGTATAAATTGTTCTTCCTTTGTAGACTGCAAGGATTATTCAGATGACTGCAGTGAATACGCTTCCCGTGGTTTCTGCAGTGACTATGCTCCAACGGCAAGCATAGGAACCATAAGTATGATGTGCAAGCGAGCCTGTGGAATGTGCACTGAAGTAACGTGAGTGACCACTAATTTCTCGGCTCTGTACATGTGACAACTGATTACAACACCAGCCATACTAAAGAGACAAGAACGATCTGGGCTATGACGCTAAAAATAGATCTCCATAATAAGCGCGGGGAGAATTTTTGTCTATCAAGGACGCCATCAAATTATCTAATGACGCTGAGCAAAACGTGACAGAGTAGGTTCATAATGGCACAAATTAAAACGTAACTAGCCAGGACTACATCATGGAAACAACTGAGTACATGGAATTCCTTTACTGCTTCACCAAAGCAAGATGGATAAACAACGTACCACAGACAATACTCCCTCGTACCTTTGAAGTAAACTTTACAGGTTCCTCAGACGGGGATAGAAGACGCTCCCTTATTCATCCTTATTCATTTTGTCTCCTCGTTTATCGGGGGCGAAATTTTTGACATTGAAAACGGGACAGAGCTCCGTAAACGACTGTACTCCACAAGTTCATTTGACGTACTGAGGGACAAACAAGTGCGAAAAAGAAAATCAACATCTAAATCCAAATCTGGATTTAGATTTTAAAAATCTAAATCCGGATTTCCCAATCGAACGCGAAATCCGTCCTCAGGGTGGATTTCAATTAAGAAATCCCAATCCGGATTTTTTGGATTTCCCTTTTGTCGTTCGATTGGGAAATCCGAAAAAGGATTTGGAAACTGTTCTCGTGAACAGCGGTCTTCTTTTTACTAATTATGCGTGCACATGCAAGGCCGCTGTTCCTAAGGACAGTTTTTCAAATCCTTTTTCGGATTTCCCAATCGAACGGTAAAAAGGAAAATCCAAAAACAAATATTGCAGCGTTGAAATCCGTTTTCGGATTTCGCGTTAGGTTGCAAATCCGAAATCCGGCTTTTAAAATCTAAATACAGATTTCCCAATCGAACGCACCCCTAGAAATTTTTAGCCGTCCTCAAGCAACAGAAATTCTAGGGAATATTGGCTTCTTCAAACAAATATTTTACAGAAAACAGTCATTGGATGCCCCTGTTAACATCAATCACAACAGCCAAAGAAACGTGACTGTCTGTACTATTTCAGAAAGAGAACTAAAATTTTCATAATTTATTATTTAATTAGTAATCTGTTGTCTATAGCCATATTTTTACCCTGTTTCTAATATAGGTGGTTTGGTTTACCTTTGACAAGATAGTGAACAAACACCTCGAGCGTTGTTATAATTTCATCTAACCAAAAAGATGGTCATCTGAGTAGCATAGGGTGTACCGAATTCACCTCATTTCGCGGAGGAATCGTAAAATACTTTTAGTGACCTCAAGATACGCCTTTTCAGCCTACGGGTACGGATAGGGGAACATGTTTGCCACGTACGTAGTTGTATAAGAGGTAACCATGATTTTCCAGATATGGTAATAGCGTTACCGTTCTACTCGGTAGCCTAGCCGTTTCTCCGGGGTAAGAGGCAATCTACCGGCCCGTATTTACGGCTATGCGTAAGGGTAATTTACCCGTACCCGAACACAGAAACGGTTTATCTTCAAGGTTTCTCACACGCAGGGTTCTTACTTCGCAAATGATCAAGTCATAAGCCTTGCCGTCACTTTGTTTTCTTAGAGAACATTGCTCCATTATGTGCCTTATCTTGCCTTGATTTGGGATTGTTTTGCTTGGCTTTAGCCTGTCTTAAATTCTATGTAGCCTGTTGCGAAATAGAAAAGGAGGAGAAAAAGTAGAGAAAACGTTGGAAATGTGGAGTTTGTGTTTGTGGTCAACCAATCAAAACAAGACATTCATCGACCAAAAAATAACTTAAAAACCTTTCAAACTGATTAAAATTTCTAAAAATAGCACATGACCTTATCGTAATAAGGTTTCTTTATTTATGAGATAAAGACTAGGTAAAGGCTAGACGTCATCAGCGTTACTGTATTTCTCAGCAAAGTAATTAGATTCCTCCTCAGAAAAGGATAATTCGGTGCGCCCTAGATCACTATAATGCGACAATAATGGTATTGCATTGCGTCCTGTCATCACAAAGGTCAGGGTTCGATTCCAGGTCATGCCCGAATTTTTTCAGGTCAATGTCTGTTACAACCGCCTAGGTTGTTTATTCAACTGCGAGGATCATTTCCACTTTCATATAATGGTATTATCGCACTATTATCAAAGGTGCTTGGTGTGGAAAAAATAATCATATTTTGAGTGAAAAGGGAATATAACTAAAAAAGAATTCAGGCAACTAAAAATTCATTTGACTTTAAAAAAATTTGGCTTCGGTGGCAACATCAAGAATCATCAGGTACCAAACAACAAACACAACACCTGAGTAATTACTGACATCTTTCAAGTTTTAAAGTGATTTTTTACTTAACCGTAGATTTTTGTTTGATTTCATAGGTCAAAAGAAAACCACGATACTTATGAAGTGGATGAAAAAGACGCCATATACAAGAAAGGGCGCATTAGAAGTTCACACCGCAATAAACATAAGCATTTAGCGCACCGTTTGAATAAGCTGTAACTACAAAATCAAAGGACTAAACGAACACTGCGTTAATTTGTGAATGAAAATATGATTGCAGAATTACAGATATAACCTCTGAATAGTCTCTGAGTTACATGTATTCCTTAAGTAGTCTGTGTAATAACTGGTAATTTTTTATCAACTTTTCTCGGATTTGTCATGTTTTTAACAGGTGAATTCTGGTGCAATGGCTGGCAATTCCAGTTAGCAGTAATTCTAGGTTTCCGTTAAGTTTGCCAAATACTCAGAAAAAGTTTTGTATAATAAATACCCTGACACCTTAAACCAAGGGTGTGTGCTTGCATTTCGATGATATATCTACGGAAAAAAAATATAAATATAACTTGATGTCTCTAGCTTCTGTCTGTTTCTTCGCGTTTCTATGAATGTATACTTTTGTTAGCCCTGTACTTTTCAAAAGGAAGATGCCATCTTTTTAATTTGGTTTACTGCTCACGAAGTCATGTCATTGAAATACCGTTCAATATATTACGACTGTGGTTGTTTGAAAATAATTCTGTGATTTGTTGGCAATAAAACGGAACTACCGGGAATAAGTGTTTCGAATGGAAGGCATCCATTTAGTTACACCTCATAACCATCCCTTTTACCGGTTGTGAAGTTCACAGCTAATTAAAAGTATTTAAGAACACGCTAATAAACAACTTCAAAAAGCGGTTTGTAATTACCAACCCTAATTAAAAATTATCACATCGAAATAATCTGTTTTTACAATGTTTGTTTTATGAGTTCGTTTATAGCCATCCTATGAAAGAAAATTGAAATGATGAATGCATTGAGGCACCCAGTATTCCGACATTATTATTTAATTCTGTAAATTAAGCTTCCCGCCAAAAAACATAGAATTCGAAGCAAGCTGTTGCAGTGAATTTTACATTTCTAGCTCCCCTCTTCACTCCAAGCATTCAGTTTTCTTTGCGTCCTGGTTCCTGGTTAAGGAGACCTAATCTAAAGAAAGAAGCAAAACAGAGCGTCAAAGAATTTTAAAAAATTTTAATTAACATTATTTTCCTGTTCAATCTATGTTTTGTATTTGGGGCCGTAAAGTTGTTTATTAAGGCGTAATTTGACTATCTTGGTAAAGGTTTAAAAGGAATAATTTCCTGGTACATTTTCGGATTAACTCGTCTCGTCTGTTATCTATATCACGGTTAGTTCTTTCTTTATAACTTTTAGCTCCTAAGGTATAAAGAGTGGGAGATAATTTATGCGTCTGCTTTTTACATTAAATTTGGTAAAAACGCCTCAATAACTACGCAGCAAATGTCAAGTCATTGGCAAACACATTTACCCTATTTACATCTAGAAACTTTACGAGTACATAGTTCATTGTCCGACAACTTTAATTAAAAACTTGATCAATAAACAACCAGCAAACCATCTGGGTAACCGAGATAATGTTTTTTAATATACACATGCGCTGAGTCCAATTAAGTCCTGTGGAAAGAGGTCTGGGCCACTTCACCGTGTAGGACACAGTCCCCATTAAAGTAATAATAGGCAGATAAAAAAAGTAACACAGTAACACTAATCCCGGGCCAAAAATGTGGTTCCATGATCAATATATGACAATTTTGAGCTACAAAACTAAGCAAAAGTGCAAGAATATTAGACCGTCACTAAAAAAAGTCTTTTATCTATTTTTATTACGAGAATTACTGCTTAATACGGTTTTTAATTCGATCGTTTCCGATAGTTTCGGCTCAGAATTATCCCAATTATACACAATAACTGGAAAGCGTGAAGTCAAGATCAGGAATAGATATTGGCCAAGCTTCGATTTTTTATAGGTTTCATGCTTTTAAACATGCATCAGATTAGGATTTATTATATGGCCAATGAACTTATGCATAGGCCTATCTTGCCAACTCAGAGAGCCAATAGAACTCCGGAATTGCCCCATCTTTCCCGCTCCCGAGGCCATACTTCCTTGGATAACCCTAGCCTGAGTCTGACAAGCATCCAATCCAGGGGATAGCAATACTCCGCAGCCTTCACATTGCTGGGATGTTAGTCTCAAGGGTTTGTGTGTTTTACAGTACCTTCATCTCCCAGGTATAGCCTTTGAACCTTGCCCAATTTAGAAATCAAGCCTCTACAATATTCCATTTGAAACTTTATTATTGCTACTGTGCCTTCCCAAGCGCCCTCTTGCGCGCATTTCCTGTATTTTCATTTCTACAAGTGCACTTTGACTATTCGTTGTTTGCTGGCTAATATTTTGTTCCGGTCATCTGGACTAAAAAGCAACTTTTTTAAAAACATAAGGTAAAACCAAGAGTTTTTAAAGGCTTACCTTCAAGTAACAGGTATACAAAGTTGGCATTACCCTTTCCAATGCATTCGCTATCATCGTTTAAATCACACATGGTGTAATTATTACCAATACAAAGTTTTGAATCTCCATGTCGTGAGTATTGATCACATGCATCTGATCCTGACCAGCTTTCTCCGTAATTTTGGAGACCAAA